TTGGCGCGGCTCTGCCGGTTGAACGCTGTCCTGGGCGCCCTTTGATGAATTCCCAGCCCTCTTGTCTCCCCGGGCGGAACTAACCCGGCGCGGCTCTGCCTGTCATTCATCAGCCCGGTAGGCCTGCTGGTTTGGGGGCTCCTGCTGCTTAAGGATCGGGGCGACACCTCCAGCAGGCTCTTAATGAGGCTGTCTGAAAGCGGTTATCTCGGCACAAACTTACGCGTTCAGCGTAAACTTACGCTGAATGTTATCCGGGAACATAGTAAAGAGAGTCTACTGCTAACTAGTCTGAGATACCCAAGTTCTTCATCAGTAGATTATAGGGCCGGTGCAACATTGCATATGTTTACCTAAGCACTTACTCCAGTAAGTGCTTAAAGAGCTTGGAGAACTATGCTGTAGTCAGAATCAGCTATCGTGTTTGGTCCAGGGCACTCGGTTGTCAAGGAGTGAACACCCTGTACGTTGTTGGTAAAAGGAGAAAAGTACCCGTAATAATATGGTTTAATGGCATAGACCACTGACAGTTATGTTGTGATGTCTCTTTTGCCTAGCTGTCTTTTTTTTTTTCGCCTGAGGAGATAATTCCTTGATATTTTTGCCTTCTATTAGACTGGGATTTTCAGGTCTTTGAGTGCCATTCGCAGAATCTTGTCTTTATGTGTTAGGATAGCCTCAAATCTCAACACCAGAGAGAGTGTCTGATAGCACCCTCAAGGTTTCAGCCAAGAGAGGTATTGGTCTAGTACAAGTCTACTGGCTGTAGGTGATAATCAGATAATAGGAGTAAGTGAATTCTTTAGGAGTAAGTGAATTCTTTAGTAATGCCACCTACAAGCTCTGTGTTTTGCTGTGTGAACTGTCCGTGAAAATGCATGTAACCTAACTTCTATTTTCAAAGGTCTGTTTCCACTGTAGAGAACCCGGCCATGGTGTTGCTGATTGTCCTGCAGTACTTGAAAGTCAAGATACAGGTACAGGAATCTGTTACCGGTGCGGATCCACAGAACATGACATCAGCAAATGCAGAGCAAAAGTAGATCCAGCTGTTGGTATGTCTCAGAAACTTGTATTTTTGAGGTGCTTTGGTCTGAGTTTTCTGACTACGGATATACAAGCTTTGTGTTTTAGTAAGTTAAGTGGTTCGAGGAGATAGGTTAATATGTTTGAAGGAATACGATATAACAATGGACCTAAGAGTGTAAGAGACAGTATAGTGTTTATAGTATAGTAGAGTAGTAAAATGTTGTCATTGCAGCATGTTCTCAGTTGTCTGTGACTTTACAAAGTCTTTTAACGTGGATCATGACTGTACGGGATTTTTCAGGGCCATTTCCATATGCAAAATGTTTCATCTGTGGTGAGATGGGGCATCTATCAAGGTCATGTCCAGATAATCCCAAAGGATTATATGCTGAAGGTGAGTGCAGTACCTTACTAAAACCCAAACATGTTTTTCATATTTGCCTGATGCAGAACAAAGTAACATTGTAAGTGAATGAGAATCTGACTACCAGGGTTTTTCAAATATCTCTTGGTAAAAGCAGATTAATTCTGGGGAATTCTGGGCAATTAATATGGATTACCTAGGGATTTCTGTTTTAATGGTAAGCTTAGTGTTAACAAGATGAGATGCAAAGTATGAGAACTTGCTTGTGCTTGCAATTTTAAGAGGCGTGCAAGGAAGCAAAATCATAATAGGCTGGTGTGTATGTAGTCAGTGTGTATTTAAAACTACGTATACCAAAGTATGTGGTAAAAACACACTCTCGTACTATAACTTAAGACTCTGGGATGTGTTCACGCAAAATAAGGGCTCTCACTAGAAACAGGATGTCTTTGGTTTAAGTGACTTAAATTGAAAAATGTGGTCTAAGTTTGAAGATTTCACTCAGATTCTGCTCTGGTTTCTCTGTTGGCACTAACAAATAATATTCTGTCTCCCAGTATAATGTTGAGGTCTTCCAAACTCAAAAGGGTGGCCTTATAACAGTTAAATTGGAAGAAAAAATTGCTTTAGAGGCATTGCACTTCCACTTTGAATGCTTGGATTATGAGTAGAACTCGTATTTAATATCTCAGTACCTACAGTTGTATTACCTGTCTCTCTCTCAGGAGCTCTTACTAATTTCAAAAGTTCATTTCAGTAATTGAATTTCAGCAGAATTCAGCTTGTTTCTCAAAAACAGAGCTTCAGACAAATCAGAAATATTCAGTATGTGGTGAATGGAATTTGTAGTATGCAATCCTTTACACAGCAGTGTGAGTACAGACAGCTCTGTCTGTCAGCGACGCAGACAGAGGAAGCTGTGTTTGCAGGCTTGTAAAGCTGGCTGCGTATCTGCTCCACGATGTTTTATTGTTGTGCCTAGGGCTGCAGACCTCTCCACAGCAACATTTCCATGTCTTATTTACAGGTTGTCACTACAGAAAACTAGAGCAAGATTTTTTTAGTATACATACAAGAGCAAAACAGCATAGGGAAGTTGTTTTGTGTTTGGTGGGGTTTGGAGAGTTTTTTTCCCAGATGAGTAACAACTTTCTCTCTTAACAGGTGGTGGCTGCAGACTTTGTGGCTCTGTGGAGCACTTCAAAAAAGACTGTCCGGAAAAACAGAACTCAGGTGAGATGCAGGGGACTGTTCAGAGTGGAGTTTGAGCACACAGCTGAGTAAGAGTTATTTACTGCTTTGCCTGACTTTGGTCAGGAAAAAAGGGTTTTAGAAGAGAACTTGCAAATAGCAAAGTTGACCTTTCTTTAGGAATGAGTGCTTATATTAAGGGGTATGTGGAGGAGTCATTAAGTTGCAGTGCAAAACTTGAACTTTCCGTTTAAAATAAAAAAATACCTAGCTTATGGGTTTCTGAAGATAATATGATGAACTGATGTGTATTTGCTAGCCAGTATTTATGCTGCTGTTCACCACTTCAGCAGCTGCAGAACAAAACTGGTTTCTTTTGATGATTTGTGTGTGAAGTGGTGGAACTGAACATAAGGTCAGTTGCAGGGTGGTGGTACTGGCAGCTTGTAAAAGCTGTGTGTGCAGGCAAGTGTTCAAGTCATTCAAGATAGGAGAGAAGGAGGAGACAGGAGATTTGTCCAGAGAAATTCGTCTTCTGCTGCTTCCGTGTTCTTCAGTTTTCCATGTGGGTGGAAGAATTATGCTATATACAAAAAAAACTGTGCTAGGGAAGGCAAAAGCATTGGGAGGGTGTGGAGAATGAGGCTGCTACTGAAGCAGGGAAGTATTTGTTCATTTTTCTCCTTCATTTGTATGGCACTTAGAACTTTTGTGTTAATGATGTGCCATAAACTGTTGTGGAATAGGGTCCTATACTTTAGCCATTTTCTGTATGCAATCCTATATATATGATATTGTTGCATCCAAAACCATATGTAACCTAGATGTGTGCTGCTTGGCTAGTTTAGAGCAAGCAAGATGGCATCTTAACTGGTTGGACAGGAGTTCCTGATAGGAAAACACTCTTCAAAAAATTTCCCCAAACTCACCATCCACAGCAGATTGTTGGGCGGTGTCCATTCAGCCCACAGGCTAGAGTTGGAAGCCTGTCACATAGCCCTTGTTGGATTTCTGCACGCCACATTTACAGCAAACGACCTTTGTGTGATTAATGGTTTTTCTAAGTCAAAAACCTGTATGGATGTCGTAGGAGAAAAGAAACATTTGTAGGGAATGGCATTGCTCAAAGCTGGGCCAGCGGTTACCAGGAAATGGCAGCCTTCAGTTCTTAGTGCTGTCCGGTGCAAGCCTTTCTGCTCTCTGGCAGTAGGGCTCTGAATCACATGTGAAGCAGAAATGGAATTTTTGTCTGCCTTTTTTTGAGAAGTTTTATGTCCGTAATGAAGACTGTTTAATTTCCCAAGGGACATCATGGTCTTTACACTGACATTTCAAAACATCTAGTATTGTTGATTAAAAATAGTTGAAATAATTGGAACTGTGACACCATTGGTAGGAATTGTAATATTCTTTGAAATCAGCTTGCATCATGCAAAGTACTTTTAGGCTACAGGAAGATAGCTGACAGCTGGCAAAGAAGTTTAGGCACTACAGTTTGTAATTTCTTCAGGCGGAGTCATTTGGCCTGCTTTAATACACAGAATTTAATCCCAGTAAACAATGATTTATCCATGTGATATTCTTGGTATGATTTGATTTGTTGCTCTTAAAATTAGATTGTCATTCAGAAAAGGAGTATCAGTTGGTTAACAGTGTTTTCCCTAGGATAGGGGTGTGAATTGGTCTAAATAGCATTTAAACAGCAAAAGGATGATGTTGATTATATGCAGGGATGCAAACTGAGAAATGTAAACTTAGCTCTGCTGGGCCTTCTGAGGCTTAATTTTTTCATCTGTGTAAAAGAGGTCTTTCCTTTTTATCCAGAGATGCTTCATGTATTCTGAAGTCTTTGTCCTAAGAGGACTAACGTGAGAGCTGATGTATCGTCTGCGTACTCTCTGAATATTTCTTTGGATGGTCAAACAGAAAAGCATGTAGTAATGATTTCTGAACCCCGATAATCTGTGTGGGGGAAGAAATGGAGTTTACGAAACACAATTCTAAAAAAAAAAAAAAAAAGTTGTGTAAAGAGAGTTGGCCTCAGAGCTAGAACTAAACTGGTGGATCTTCGGTGAACCCATGACAGGCCTTTGCAGGCCAAATCTGCCTCAACTGTGAAAGTTTGGTCTGATGGTAATGCTGAGCCTTTCCATGACCTCTTGTCTCTTGCTCTACAGATCAGGTTACGGTCGGGCGATGGGCCACTGGAATGAGCGCAGATTATGAAGAAATTTCAGAAACACCAAAGCTGCAAAAACCAAAAGTGAAAGAACCCAAAGTTGTTACTTTTTGAAGGCCTCTTGGCTCTAAACCACAGCTAACCCGTGCAGCTTCACTCCAGAGTAGTGACCACAAGGAGTGGATTGCTGGTTCCAGAAAATCAAGCAGACTTCTGCTGCTGAATTTATTTTTTTTTTGTTGTCCTCCCTCTCACTTTTCCAGTTTGCCTCCCAGACTCCCCTAGCTTACTGAAAATCTGTGAACAACAGAAATACAGCAAGTGGGTACTTTTTTATGTATCTCTGCTGAAATACAGCATTCCTTCTGATTGACGTTCCCTCTCACTGCCAGCTCTGAGGAGGGAAATGGGCTGCTGCTTGTAGCAGGGATCCGGTTGCAGTAACCAAACAGGGCATGTGCATTTGTCATGGGGGTCTGCCTGGATTTTGGTGGTCAGTATTGTTACCTTAAGAGTGCTGCTTTTACTTATCAGAGACAAACACAATCATGCTGGTCTTACTAAGAGTATTTCCACATCTCTCCGAAAGGCGTTGTGGAAATTTTCTAAAGACTCTTGTTGGGTTCTGGTTTATTTTTGCCTTCTCCTTTTGGAAAGAATGATTTCTTGCTCTGCATTTGCAAGCTTGAGCAGTCTTGTAGTGAAGTTACCAGGTAAACCCTACAGCCTGTAGAGCTTGGGTGTGCAGTTACCACTACTCAGCTAAATGCATACGTGCATTAACCCAGTTGTTTATGCATGTTGGATTTGTTTGAGTATTTGTCCACCAATAGAAACAGAATCATGCCCTTGCTTTGATAGCTGTGGTGAAACATACCTGAAAAGAGTTGGAGAGCAAGTGAGCAGCTTGCTTAGCTCCTTTACTTTTTTCAAGGGAAGTGCTCAAAAATCTTCAGCGTTTCTATCCCTTGGTGGGTTGGGAGTAAACTTTGCTTTGTATTACATGTGCCTGCTTAATGGCAGGTTTTATTTATTTTTAAACAGAGACTGGAGCCTGAAAAACAGCAGCCTTAGAAAAACTGATATGTATTAAAAGAAGTTTCGAAACCAACTCAAAATGGAGTTCCTGCAACGGCTCTCCAAATGCAGTGGTAATTCAACCTGTGCAGCTAGGGTGGTAGGCTTTCACTTGGCTCTGATCATCTCACCCAAGATGAAGAAGGGAGCACAATGCTACTGCACAAGTGCACCTCGAGCTCATCTCACATGCTGCACTTCATTCCGAACCGGTGTCCCAGCACGGTTCTGGACAGTGTGGGCTGGTGCTGCCCAGGCTCTCCGTGCAGCGCTCCGTTCTGCTTTGTAGGCAGGCGCCCGCACACCCGTGACATCGGGCTTTCGGGCCTCTATGGCAGCCATGGTTGCCATCAGACAAATACAGTACTTCTGTCCCAAAAATCTTAAAACGTGCCTTCTAAAAACTTCAGCTTGCATTATACAGTAATAAGCAGCAGTCCTTGGGAGGAAGCTGCACAGTAGTAAAGCTGCTGCTTCTAAAAGAATTAATTTACCCTTTGAATAAAAGTGTCCTAGCGGTCCGTGTGTGGCCTTGGTGAGAACACAGAAGGAACACCAGACAGTAAACTTGAGCTCAGGACTGGGGTTTGAGGTGCTCAGGACCAGCTGCTGAAACTATGAGTTTGGAATGTACTTTTCTGACAGCAGAAAACAAATACAGGAATTTAATTGTACAGATGTATTTTATATTTGTACATGTTAATTATTTTTAATAAAATGCTGGGAAATAATACAGTAGTTAGAACTCTTATTTTAGGTTTCCTGGTTCTGCTCTGGATACAAAGGCACATTAGGTTGACTAAGATGGGGCATGTATACTCAGCCGATAATAATCAAAGCACGCATTTAGATGGGGAAGAGGAGAGGATGTGGTTGTAATCAAGGATTAATTAATGGAGTTTTAATTAACTATTGGATTAAAACTCAAAGCAGTATCACTTCAATGTGGACATTCTGCAACAGACATTTACCCCAGCTTAAACAGTGTTTCTATTGTATGAATAAGTACATTGTTTAAAAAGCATCTTCTTAGGTCACTTCCCATCTTTAAAAACTCCTTGATGTTGCAATATGTTCTTTTACCCGTGGGAACTTGAAGCTGTGCACCTTGACTTTCCTAGTGGTGCTGACACTTCCCAGAGAAGGGGCTGATGGAGAAGGCATGGTCTGCGGTTTCAGGGTGCAGCCTCTCCTGAGGAAACGGCTGCTGCGGGTCTCTGGTTCGGAGTAAGAAGTGGCCACCCAGTTGTGCCGCTGCAAGCTGAGGCAGAAGTGTCCCTTTGACAGACTGCTGAGCTGTGCGGTGTGTGACGTGTACATCGGAGGAAAAGAAGAGTCACTCTTCCCTTCCCTCAGCTGATCACTGCCACTTCTGCTTGGCGAAAGGGACTGCTAATAGAACAGGGTGACTGAGAGGGCAGTTGTGTGAAAAGAAATCCTGCAAGAAGCAGTGGTTTAACCTTTGTTCTCGAAATGGTGGAGCTCTGTTGTCCTCTGAGAAGAAATAGTGCGCTTCTTCAGACTTAGAAAATCCCAGGATACTGTCTCTGAGAATTTCAGTATGAAGTCAACGGCTGTTTTCAGGTAATCGCATGCATGCTTGCATGGGGCTGGGAGCACGTGCGCCTCCCTCTTGCCCTCTGCTTCAGTGGCTGCTGCGGAAAATGAGGCACCGAAATGCACTACGCTCTAAAACAGCTGCACGGGTTAGCAATCTTCAGTGAGTGCTGGACAAGGCTACTTGTTAAATGCACCTACTTAATGTCTTTTTAGATGATTTCACAAGGGTATGTGTAGTTGAAGAGAGCTATTTGAAAAGCAGATGTAAAAGGTGCTGTATGTCAAGACGCATCATACCCACAAATAAACTTAAAAGCTAGGCAAATAATTAGAGTTTAAGCAAAGTTTGCATGCCAGAAGCATGAATCTCCTTGCCTTAGCAATTGCACAGAGGTTGGTAAAACACAATCCTTGGTCTATGCTAAAAAGATACTCTTCCCCTACACCCCCAAAGATGTGTGGTGGCTGCATGCGGAACACGGCCCTGCTTTGCACTACACGGGCCAAGGTCTCAGGGTTGGGGGTGGAGGGCAGAACATCTCAGGTAGGCATGAGCTCACCAGAATGCTAAGATCAAAAAAAATGCCAAATAAAGTTCTCCAGCTAGCCCTTGCAGTAGCCCCACAGCTGAGTTCAGTGTGCAAGTGTCTCTACACGCAAGTTACAAACTGTGCTGCATAGGCAGCCACCCAAAGAGCTGGTAAGAAATGCTTGGTGCAGGCAGCGTTTGGGCTCTCCCTGATGTGCCACGCATGTATTCAGAGCTGAACATTAGGTGTCTCTGTTCACTAAAAACTGGGAGTACAGAGACTGACCTGCCCACTCCAGAGCTTGTCTGCCATCATCTGCACACAGCAAGTGCCAGCAGGACTTGGAGAGCTGAGCTCTGGTCCTCGGAGGGGGCCTGGACCCTTCCACTGCCAGCCAGCCCAGGAGGAGGCAAGCAGTGTTTTTCATGCTCTGGCAGGGGCTGCCCTGAGGCTGCCGTCCTCGCTCCCTTGACTGAGGTGTTGCACCTTACCCACGTGATAAGGATGGCAATGCAATATCAGGATCTGGATCTACGTTGTCTCCTCCAGAGCCAAAGACCAGAATCTGCTTTACTTTTTCTTATTACTAGTGCAAAGATATCCCCGTGTGGTGTGGCATACAGTGGCCAGCCTCCGCTAGACGCAGAAGACAGTGGCTGATTTCACTAATGCTTTGGGTTCAAGGCTGTACCCAAGCTAAACTAGTCTTGCTGGGAGACAGGTGACTCACAGTGCCGGCATACCCAGAGGGCTTCCAGGACGCCAGTTGGTGCCTCTTCCGCTGCACTTGGTAGACATGCCATATGCAAAAGCATGCTGTAACCTATAAATCACTGATGAAAGCTTTGATTCAGTTATAGGTTAAACTGAAGATGTATTTACTTAAGCGGGAACTGGACCAGACTCCTAGAGCTCTCACTCTGCCAATTGTGAGACTACGGTAAGATAAAAGGGCACTGCTACAGTTCACATGCTTTGATTCTCTTAACACCCCCTCATTCATGTTACGATCTAACTGCTGGTGATCATACTTGGTTTTTTGAACAAGGCTCTTTTGAGCAAAAACAAGAGCAGAAAACAAAGTAGACACAACACAATAAAACCTCTGAAACCATTCTCCCTTTTCATCTGCGAGGGAGTGGATCCAAGCGTCGTACTGTTCTGCATTTATTCAACGCTTGCAGAACAGTCTTGCATAGAGCATGCCAGCTGGAGGTCACAGCGCTTCTGTAAGAGGCCAACAGCCCCCACCATCACTACAAAGCAGCCTTTTTGGAATGATGTCTGAAGCCGTTCCAGAGATACCGTAGTAAAATTTACCCTGGGTTTGTAATCTCGGAAGCAATAATTTATTGGAAGTCACAGATAAATTAAAAGTATTAACAGATAACGTGTAATTATGTATAATGGGTGTGCAAGAACCTGGCCAGAGCACGGGATAAGCGACTTAGTAGCACCACTTCTCTGCAAATTAGGCAGTGTGGTATTTACCAATTTAAAACTGGCTGGATGCCATTACGTTCAATATAACATAAAAATAGTGAAATCATCTCAGGAGCCAAGTTCTGCCTCCATTGATATAAAATTCATTAATGCAATCAAGAGCGGAATCTGTCCTTTCATCTTTTTAAAATTAAAAATTGAATTTAGAGCCTAAGGCCTAATCTTGATTTGATAGCAGATGCTTGTACTAGATATTCTCATGCTCAAGCCCAATGTTGGCTACATGATCCAAAGTAACTAACCTGTAGGAAAAAGATCAACACACATGCAGGAATTTAAACCAGTACTGCTTGATCATCTTTAGACATCTCTTCAGAAATCCTTTTTTAACTTCAGTACCCGCTACCTTTCCGCTCCAAGAACTTTATACATTCCAAAGCAGTGTCTTCAATGGATTTTGATGACCCAGTAAGATTTGCAGCTAAGTATGGCATAACACCGGATGTCACTTGATTGAAGTAACACACCTGTTTAAACAAAAATAAATGAAAGAAAAAAGCCCATAGATTGCAATAGTTAGCCATTTTTTGCAGAGCCTAGATGAGTATCAAAGTTTTTATGGATGAGAATAGAAACACATAGTGCTTCTGAAGGCAATAATTAGCAAAAAGAGCATGCCTTTTTTACAGTACTTCAGCGATCTCGGTGTCCTCACTACTGCCAGGTCCTCAAGCATGCAGGTAAATGTACAAAGCAGTGCAGCAAGAAACATTATGTGTAACCTATCAAATATATGTGCTTTGTGAACAAAGCTGTTGACTGAAAAAAGAATCCCAGCCACTCAGAGCTGCTAAATGTTTTCAGAAATATATTTTCTTAAATGAAAAAGTTATAGCCTTGCCATGGAGAAGCAAAAGAGGAATACTTGTCATTGGTCCAGAGATGGGATTCAGATTGCATAATTTCTGATATGAAAGTTAAAGTTGAGCTTTTAATCTGAACTAATTCCTTGGACCGTCACTGTAGTCGGTGAAAAGAGATGGACTCCACCAGACCAGTTTAATGCACACCTGCTAGAAGTGTATTTTAGGATTGAATGAATGACTCTGGAGGTGTCTAGCCATCTCCATTGCTCAGTTTAGATTTCTTTCCTAACAGTCAGATTGGCCAAAGCTGGGCAAGACAGATTCCACTTTGTGCAATGAAGAATGTCTTAATAACCACACTGAACTCTGGGGAAGCTGACTCATTTTTTTTGTTGTATTGCCGTTACTGTTCTAGACTGTCAGCTCAAATGAGATTACATGCACATGTAATGCTACAGGAAAGGAGACACAGCTGAGGTCTGCAGAGCTACTCACTGTACAGGAGCTGTTGCTGTCACTGTAGATCTGGAATCCGGCACAAAGGATTTCACTTCTGCAATATTCTGGAGAAGGTGGCATAGACGTGAGGGTAACTGACTTTACAGCTATGATGTAGGGTTCACTGCAGGGCAAGGGGAAGAATCAAACATTTCTTCAACAAGATGTTAAAAATGATACATGTAAATGACTACAGAGTATGCACAGCTGTACCAAAGACGTCATTTTCATATGAAGGCAAACAAGTTCCTGTATGTTTAAAGATACATGTTAAAAGATTCTGCTCTTTTGAGTTGCATTAAGGCTTTATCACAGTCTCCAGTCAAAGAGACTTCTTATGGAAAGCCACAGAACAACCACCCACACACAACACCTCCTTTTTTTTATTTATCCTGCTCTCTATGACCCATGTTTACAGAATCAGAGTCTAGGAGCAACCCTTACTAAGAGGCTTTACAACGTGGACCCAACCAAGGTAGACATGCTTCAGTTCCCAGATGCAGCGGGAAAAAAACAAGCACAGTAGACAATAGTGCCTTTTAGAAGCAATGTTCTGTTAACATGAAGAATTGCTGAACATAAGAAAAGGAATTGAGAATAAAGAAGGATAAGATACACCAAATGGTCCCATTTATCCATGTTTCATTATGCAAAAGGAAACCTAATGAAAAAAATTCAATGTATGTTAAACTGATGAAGGGATTTTTAAAACTAAATTCAGCAGCAAAAAATACAGATAGAACAAATGTCTCACACTGAGGTTTCAAGAAAGGCCAAGAACTTACTTAAATAAAGAAATCTCCAGAATTACATTAAATTGGATTACGAAGTCACTTAAACAAACAGACAAGCTCCCAGTCACGTGCTTCAGCACATTGACAGGCCCTCTGGGACATGTTTTTTTCCAAATTGCTTTTTTGGAATTCTGGCCTATTTTCCCTCATTGTAGACCACTCCTGAAGAGTCACTGTCAAAGAAGTAATACTGGGCTATGCTACAAATCTCTGATGCTCTGAATTTACTTCATCGCACCTTCATGTTACAAAACAAATCTGGCTGTGCAAACTCAGGCATCAACATACTGTACTTTAGATCAGCTACTAATCTAATTTCTTAAAAAATAAAATATCATCTTTGTCACCCAAGAACAGGCCCAGATAAAGGTCAACAGTAGTCAAAACTGTGGCTCCAAAGCGCTCACAGTTAAACCTGAAATTGCATACTCACCTTGGCTTACAGGGTTGCCTTTGAGACACAAGAATCACAAAGTCTCTGGGTTTATGGCCAGTCACGGGTGGAGACGTAACATAATATATTTTCTCATCTTCATTCACAGCCTGTAGGACCTCACAAGTTCTGCAAATACATTTAAAACACACATGCAGACCTGATGTATGCAATAGCATCCCTTAGGAAAAACACAGTACAAACACATATTCCATCCTAACATTAAGCCTGCAATTCTCATGTTCAGGCAGCAAGGAAGAGAGAGGAACACAGAGTGAAAAATTGAGGTTTTCTGCAACACCTCATCTGGCACCACCTCTCTGCCCTGCAAAATTGTTAAAAAGCACTGCAAGGTGCTGGAACAATGTCTTAAAAGCTTATCTTTTGCGTACTGTTGATTCCTGTTCGGAATGACATTAGCCTGCATGCCATGCAATGCTGAGTGACCAAACATGGTCCATCTGACACACCACAGGAAAAACAGTCAGGAAACATTTGTACAATTTTATTCAAAGTTGTGTTCTACTCTGTTCAGGCAGGGCCACCTAGGTAGGACACACTTTTTCACTGTCTTGGAAGTACTGATGACTATCTCTGAATTTTCACTACAAAAAAAAAAAGTCACAACTTTCCTTTACACTGGCAGTAATTTAATCCAGCTTCTACTGCCTCAGCAAGAAGCACTGCTAAGCTGGTATTCCATTTTGACCAGTCAGACAGGCTACATTATAGCCATAAGAAATCCGAGATTTTGGCTGTAGATATGGAAAATCAACACAATATTTCTTGAGATTTCATTAGTTACAAGCCACAAATTCAGCAGAGACTGTGAATTTTCCAATATCCCTAAGCTTCCACTTTCACCCTCTGATAAAAATCTTTCAGGATAGAATGACTGACTGAAAAAGCTGCTTCTTGAAGAGAATAGTCACCAAATCACATTAGTATCATATAAATTCAATTGCCGTTATTCTACACCATACAAGGTAAATAAAAAAAATCCCTCAAATACCTTTTACAGCAATTCTGAAACCCTTTCCAATTCAGCTACACTTTATAAGATGTTATTGTTCTTAAAATACACATTTTGAAGATCCCCATTCTTGATATCTTGCTTTGACTGTATGATGAAGCTGAGCTTCAGTGTCCCAAACAATATAAACATGAAGAAGTCCACAGCTTTACCTTACTTCTTACAGAGAGCACGCACAATATATCAGCCTCAGGTTACATGCAGCCTACTCAAATTATCCCTTTCAACATATATTTGTCTAGGCATGGAATTTTATTCATTTTAGAAAATGGTAGCCTCTGTCCCAGCTCTCTCTTTTGACAGTGCAGGGCAACCATATTTTAAAATCAGACTTAAGAGAAATAAAATTTTATTTTTAAGGTAAAAAACCCAATTCAAACTTCGACTAATGAATCTTTAATGTCAACTTCTTACAGCAATTTCTTCTTAATTATGTAGAAAAGTGTCAACAACTCAAAAATATTTTTATCAGAAAAGGCTAGTTGTTGGTGGATTTGAACAGTCCTAAAGAAAGGTAAGTTCTTACATGAAATGTTTGTCCCATTGTTGGCGGAATGTGAAGTCAGACAAAAGGGAGAAAGCTAGATGTGATGGTATCTTCACTTGCATTTCAACTTTGAGTGACAACACATCACTGTCCTCATGAGTCCATATTTTTGTCTGAAAAAAACGAATAATATATTAAAAACACAGAACAATTGCTATAAACATTTTAGCACTTACAAATGTTAAACATTTAGGACTTAAGCAGATTTTCTCAAGAGTACATATGAAACCGTATCTGACAGATGAAAGGCAGATGAGTATTCAAGATTAGTTTTACAGCACAATGTAAAATCAACTGATAGCATAGTGACATCACACAGTTTTAATTACATCTGGTTAGGGATAGTGGAATTAGCTTGCAAGATAGATTTATCTGAAGTAGTAGTGATGGTTTCTTAAAGCTTTCCAGGAATTCAAAAAAGTAGGATCCATTGGATATGGTACTGGTGAGTAGGAGCAAGCTGGAGTGAGGCCACACTAGATGAAACAAGCATCCCTGCAGTATGTGTGAGGCAACACAGACTTTAGCAAAATAAGACAAACCACGCAACTGCCCTCCCTGCCACCAGGATTTTGGAACATATGCAGCATTCCGGCGCATGGCAGTTTTGGGGAGCTTACCTAGAGACAACCAACGGAGGACAGATTTTTACAAAAGTACTTTCCAAGCTTTAAGAGGGATGATTTTGGATGATACATGGATTACCTCCTTGATCCACCTCTCCAACCTATGCAGTCCAGTAGCCCGTCTTTGATTAGTAATTAGTAGAGCTCAACTACGTCAGCTGTCTTTGTCCATGCAGATCAGTCACGCATTGGCCTATGTCCCCTTCCCCTAAGATAACTCAACATTTCTCTTTCCAAAATACCTTTTTTTCTCCCCTATTCTTTACTGTGAAGCAGAGCATAGAACATAGTTTTGCCTCTCTTGTCCAACACTTGCAGTATCTTGCCTTTATTATTTTAAGTCTCTTTCTAGTTATAGGCCTGAACCCTAACACAGAGAATTCAAAAGGAATAACCTGCACATAACAGTGTACACAATCCTTGCAAAAGAAGGGCCTGGCATCTTTCATGAACCCTGTATAATGGAAGAAGATGGGTAGAAGAGAGTGCTTAGAATTACTGGACTTTATTCCCAAATTTTAATCTGATATACGAAATTGCTTCTCACATCCTAGAAAGTTTTAACAGATTTTCATTTCTAAGTGATAACAACATTCATAAGTTCCGTCATCTCTGTTGCTTTTTTTTTGCTGTATCAAAAATCAACAATCTTTTGGTTTATGGAGCGTTTATGCAACAGCACAGGTTTTGTATGTTTCCATATTTTCATGTTTTGGATCAGGAAAAATACCCACAATATAATCCAGCAAGCATCTTGCTGAAGTGAAGTCTGGGGTAAAACAAAAGGCCTAAGAGCTTTAGAAATCAGCTATGGGATGCATGAATCAATATTTCTCTCAGGCATAGAAGAGAAAGCATGTTGTCTTAGGAGCCTTCTACACTTGAAAATCACAAAATGGAGCAGGAGGTGTAGCTGTTAAAACATCTCTCTGCTAACTGAACACTGCCAAGGCTATGTTGTTACTATGGGCCTACAAGTCTTGTGGCTCTATGTCAAAGAGCTTACAGTGCCACTTTCTACTTTCAAAAACTGTCAATCGGACTTGGGGTCATCCTAATTCCAGAGAAAAGGGACCAGATCCTCTGCGTATAAAGCACATGCTGCTTTGCAAAACCTACCTACTACAATATTTGATCCCAAAATACAGTTCAGTCTAATGTCTTTGAGAGTCTCCTTTCCCATAGTATGACTGCCTTCAGGCAGAGCACTGATCAGCACTACTACCTGATTCCTAGTACCTAAGAAGTAGGTAGCAGTTGGCTAAGTAGTTGTTCTGTGCCTATGCCACTGTATACCCTAAGAACAAGAATCAAGACCTGGTACATGAGTGCAGAGAACATAAGACTGGTATGGTGGTACGTGTGGTGGCCTGTAGTGCTTAAAGAAAGATGATGTAATGCCCTGAGCTGTTTCTTAAGGTACACTCCTGTGTGCTCACGTTCACAAAAGTGACAAAAGTGAGCGTGTAACAGTGACAAATTAAGCAAACTACCATTTGGCAAGATGATAGGTTTCATTAACTGGAGCTGGCAGAAAGCCTTCCTTGGAGCTGCATCTATACCTGCATTTAGGGACTTGAGCACACATCTAAATTTGACTGGAGGAGTTGTATAGGTAAAGATTGGTTTAACTCTCATTTTCTTTGCCAAAGAGCAAATATAATCCACCAGGTTGGTTAATTTAGAGGTAAGCATACAGTCACACGTGGAGACCAGTGAACCCTCTGCCTCCTGCTGATATCTATACTTTGTCAGCAGTCTACCACGTATTTGCAAGTAGATGCTAAATAAAAAAGAAGACTTACGGAATAAATGATATACAACAAAGTGGCCTACAATCATAAGTATGGTTTGCTATCGCTGTTCACTGCATACATCCAGAAGAAAAAAGAAATAGTGTGCTACCCTGGATCCCTGCAGCTTCTTTAAGGAATATCTGACTGACAATGCCAGATTATGCAGAAATGTCCAGAACAGTGGTAATGGATGGCTACTCTCCATCCATTGACAGCACCAGTGTGATTTGCATCCTACGTCCCGCCTGAGCCAGATTTTGCTTAATTTCCATTAGATGAAAGAACAGCCAGAAAAACCTACTCAAGATTTTCCACAACATAATGCCTAAGTGGCTTAGAGGCAGACCTTACTATCAAGCGTCCCCAAAACCAGGAGAAAGTTCCAGACTCTAGTAATACTGGAAGGTACCTGGTGGCTTGCTGAGAGAGAGAAGTAACATCATGCTGTTTAAAATGTCATCCAGAATGTGCATGGGTTTTGTTTTCTTATGTGAAGTAATTTCTTCACAACATTTGGTGCTGGTTCTATTACATGTTTCAAGCATTTCGGGTTAAGAAAGAAACTGAGATTGTGGCAGTCCCAGCGGATGCAGAAAGGAAGTTCCATGTGGATAATAATACAGTCTTACCAGTGGCTTAAAAATAATGCTCAATGTTTCAGTCTGATTGTTCAAGCTTGCTTTTTCCAGCATGAGTGCAGTCTGTCATTTAATTGGCCCAACAGTGTTTACTGAACGTTATTAACCACTGGAACAACATATGGAACTGGCAGATTTGCCATCACTGGAATTCCTTCTGATTTATACATGCTCTTACTCAAGTAGCTTATTGACTAGGTACAAGAATCAGTAAGTGAGGTTTCATCGTCTGTGACATGCAGGAGGTCAGACTTAAAGACTTTAATAGTCTTTTCTTGTCCCAAAACATCTCTGAATCTATGTGATCTTCAAGTAATCTGCCAGTCGTTAACTGTATTTCAGAAATCAAACCTCAACAGATCTCTCTCGATAATTTGGAAAACATGTACTGCAACTAGGTTAAAACTGAATTTCCCCAGCTAACTTAATTTGCTATTGGTTTTCTTAACAGCATCGTACTATCTTAGAACTGGCTTACACAAGTTTCCTTACTGATTTTGAGCTTGTAACACTGATCGATGAACAGAGGGGTGCTTTGCTTTCAGGCTTTTGTGATTTTTTAATAGAAAAGGGCCTGAAAGAAAGATATCCAAAAGGAAAAGAGTTTCTAGAAAAAGAGCCAAGTCGTATTCGGAGAAGACAGAGACTGAGAATTATGTTATATAAATTGCTGCCACCTGTTGACTGGCAGCGTCCACTTGGAACTATCACAAGATAATGCCTGCTACTTAGAAGCATCTCCCATGCTGTAAATCTGGTAAAGGCAGCATATTACAGACTGCTGCACGCATTTTTCTAATCACAGTGACATGAGAAGACCCACAGATTGTCACCAGCACTGCCTAAAGAAAGATTTGGTTTCGTTGAAATCAAAGAATTTGGCAAAATCACAGAAGCACATTGGCTGTGGCAAAGAACATGTCTCACAGAAATGAAATACGGGTTTGTTTGTGTTTTTACACTCTCCTGTGTGTTGCTCCACAAGCCCAACTAATCAGTTGCTGGCAAGCCTGCCCTTCTGGGATCCCAAGTCCAATGTCCACCAGTCATTCAGACCACCTTAGAACTCCTCCATGGCCCTTCCAGGCTGTACAGCACTCTGGACAACCGGAGGCTGCTTTGCAACATTTCAGGGAAAACTCTGGGAGTTCTGGTTTTCAACCCTAGCCACAGTAAAGCCAAATACTGCTCAGCCAATGTGTTTATTTACAAATGTAAACCATTGCTGTTCTCTGCCCACCTCTTATGGTGAAACATAACTAAAGTGGCTATGTAGCTATTCCACAATTATGCACTTACGTCATCCAATCTACTGGTTATTTCCCATCCCGGTTTTGCTGCTAGGTGTGTCAGTGCAGCTATATTGCTGTAACTCACATATGCCTGAAACATAAGATACATTTCTGAAAACGAAGGGGTAAAGGTACATTTCACTAAACATTCCAGAAATCAGATGTTATTTTTCCATCATTATCCCTCCATCGCAAAGAAATGTGTATTTTCCCCTAAGTGTTTTCCTTCCAGAAAACACAGTCCAGTAGTTTCTCAATTAAATACTTTCAATACCTAGATTATGTGCTCTCATGGCTGTTGGCAAAACAACTCTAATCAAACAACAAAACACTACTTTGGGCTTCTCCAATTATAAAGCAGCGCAGAAAAACTGTGACCACCAGAGAGATAATACAGGTAACCACTCAGACCACTAAATTAATGGTTTTGTCCATCTTCCTCCTAAGTAATTAAATCTACTAGAAAATTAACCTCTTCATTGCTATCAAGCTGTAGTCTATCTTGGCAATTGCTCTACACAGCAGGCTCAGAGCAGAGAAAGTGCAAATATATCCATTATTTATGCTTGACTACAGTGAATGGAGTCTTCATTTAATCACTGTATAAAGAGAGTACAGCTTCTGAGTCTTTAACGACAGGTTTTAATTGAACACTAAATAAATCTTAAGTAAACCATTTTTATTATTGTGTGCATATTTATCTTTATTGTTTTGCAGAAAAGAAATGCAGCTTCAGAGAGTGGACATGACACTGTTAGCAGCAAATCACTGCCTGTATTATAATTCTCAATTGGTTATTTTTTCATGTAATGGAAAAAGACCCGGTAAAATTTCTGGGAGCCACTGAGATCTTAAATGCAATGAAAGTTTAACCACAAAAATTCAACACTGAAACAACATTTAGATTGTCTATAAAGCCACCTAAATTCAGGTTCCTCACTATTCACCTCATGACACAGGAACATTCTGCAGCCTAGTATGTCCAAGCCTGAAACACATACCACCTGATGCAGAGTATCTAAGAACAAACATATGTATGTTTCCCTCAGAAACAAAGTTTATGCTATTTCGCTGTTCATCTGTCTGTTGGTATTGCCGTATCTCCCCCCACACTTTTAGCATTTACTAAATGGTCTCCTCACAGGAATCTTTGAGAAAACAGTGACTGGATAAAGGAAAAAAAAAAAAACCGAACTAATGCCTCCACAGGAGAATTGAGCTTTTTAAAAGCTGGGGACACTGGACTATAAATCTGCAGGAGATCTTACAGCTCAGCTGCTCAGGGGACCACTTGTTAAAAGAGTCTATCTTAAAGACATTTTTTATGTTTTGTATGAAACTTGCTCTTAAATTAATAGTGAAGTATCTACTCTCTCTTTTTCAGAAAAAAAAAAAAAAAACCCAAACCCAACGTTCATCTTATTACACATTAACCCATTCTTCCATAACACTAACTGTCATAACACTTAAGTACAGAAGTGTTACTTTGGAAACAGATACAGCCTCTACAACTGTTTTACAAACCCCAAAAGTGTACAAATACACCATTTTATGCAAGTAGACAATAGGACACAATCTGCAGATTACCTGGCTGCTTCTCTCCCAGGGATCAGAAGGTTTGTCTCCTTTAGCAGACAGCATGCATTTTCTAAAACAAAATTCAAAGGAAAAATAATGAATTGCATGAATTGGTCCTTTATGCTTTCTTCTGTATATGCTAGAAACATTCACTTCTATAGGCTTAAGTGTTTTCTAAATACTACATAGGTATTTTACTCATTTTCAGTTCTTCCCAAGAAAATGGGGAAGCAAAATAACCTATAGAACAAAGTATTTTTGAGACAAGTAGCCTCTAATAATTTCAACTCAGGCAAAATTATTTGGAAAGTTAAGCAACAGAACAGTTATGTTTGAGGAGACTTTGACTACTTAACAACAATCACTTTTTTAGAGGATACATCATAAAAGCAAGTTTTCAAAATCAAGTTCTCCTTGTAACCCAACTATACCTTGCTAGTTGAATTCTCCTTCGGGCAACAGCTCCATGGTATCGCCTCATACCATCCTTTATAAAAAGCAAACCAGACAGTAAGACATCTGATTATTTTAGGACACGTTCTAAAAAAAGACAACTAAAAACTATTTCTTACAGATGGATAAATGCCCGAGATCTATTACAAATAAATAAAGAGTTGTACTCTGTACTTTGGCCTTTCCCCAGATTAACCTGAGTTGGTGGTTTACTTTGACTTGACAATATTCCTTTAAATTTGCAAAACCAAGCTAATAAAAAAAGTTGTATCACAGTAGCATACTCCTAGCACTTTTTGGTCCTAAACCAGTGGCAGCTGAGCAGTGCACTACACACATTCTACTCTCTAAATGTGCCACCCACCAAATATGCTATTAATCCAATTCATCATCATTTGATGTTCAAAGCATGAAGGAAGCATGGAAGAGTTCCCTTCCAGTTCACATGGATCTGGCACACAGAGCAAGCACTGCGCAAATATACATGATCTGCCCTTCAAGGTGGCAGGTCTTTCCCTTCCCTTGTTATTACTCTGCCAAGGTGGTTTGTTTTTTTTTTTTTGAAGCTTGGAAGCGACCCAAGGGCATACATGACACCAAACTGCACTAAAGATCAGTGGGACTTGTTATCTTGAAGGATATAGAATCACAGAATCATAGAATTGTTTAGGTTGGAAAAGACCTTTAAGATCATCAAGTCCAACCGTTAACCTAACCCTGCCATCCCACCACTAAACCATGTCCCTAAGCACCTTGTCTACCTGTCTTTTAAATATCTCCAGGGATGGGGACTCGACCACCCCCCTGGGCAGCCCATTCCAGTGCCCAACAACCCTCTCTGTGAAGAAATTTTTCCTAATGTCTAACCTAAACCTGCCCTGGTGCAACTTCAGAAAAGCTTCTTTTCCTCAGCTTTTTAAGAGCTCAGGATGTAGCATCTAGAATACAAAGAATCTCCAGATTTGTACATCTCAGGCTTCTTTAAACCAAGGGCTACATAAAATTTTTGAAGACATCTCGTCTGTTTTGTAGAGCATTGCCATACCAGCTGTCACTTTCAGTCAAATGAGCACTGAAAGTCTAAACTATCTTGAGCACATACTAATTTTCCCAGATTTGTTTGCTTTACTCTGAAGGAATGGGTGTATATACTCTTGACACTTAGCTTGTGGACGCCTCTCTAGGCAGGTCTTTAAGGGAAGCACTGTTTTTCTAACAGAAACTAAGCTGATATGACTCAATTTTCCTTTTGGAACAGCCTGTAATGTGCAGTAGTGAATCTTACTGCCTCAGCCAGTACGTAGGACACCTTGATTTATTTGTCCAGTTGCCATCCTATAAAAGTTCACTGATGTTAAATAACCATTTCATTTCTGTCTATGCTGGCTCTCTAAAAGTCTTTTAATCGGAGCAGTATGGTTAATGACAGATGCCATCTCAGTAAATACTTCAAAAATAGTATTCAAACTTCTCCAAGTGCTTAATGAACCAGATAAACATATGCTGAGATCTCCACGTCAAAGGAACTGGAAAGCCTGCTCATGTCAAGGGATTTGATTTCTACAGACTTCTTTATTAACTCTATTTCTCACCTTCATTAAGGGTTTATGACAATAGCTTTATTCACTGAACACTTCAGAGTTTCATCTACAGTCAGTGGAGATTGCGCAAGACAGATACAGACAGGTAAAACAATCTGCAAAAACCAGGTTATTCATCCCTTTCCATCAACTAACTACAGAATTTCTAATGATGACTACCCTCCACTACATCCCTCAGTTTTGGATGACTGAAGTAAACAATGAAAAATCTCTCACTTAAAGGCAAACATTTCATTTAGAGGTTTTCTCTTCTGCAAGAAGATGCATTTCAGTGGCCTGTTTAGTCCTTGCTTTCCCAGAAAGGTTATAGTGGCTGGCTGTGTGACATGCAGTGTGCTGGTTTGGACCACATAATCTCATGCAGGCATTCATCCTGTTCCTGAGGATGAAAGCTGACCTTTGTGGTAGGTCTGATTCTGGGGAAGGTGAGCAGCTCTCCTTTGTCATTTACAGTGTTAAAAATGAGAAACGCGCTGTTAATATGCCGTGCTTGGTCCTTGATCCATTCTTCACAGTTATAAGCCTCAACACGGACACCAACCTCCACACTGAAATAAAAGTTTAAATTAATTATTGAACTACTAGAAGTGATGCAGAAGCAGCCCTGAGACATAGCAAAAAGGGCTGCTGTACACCTTCCTGTGTAAAGGAAACCTGACTCATATACCTGCAGTAGCATACAAAATAAATTACTCAGCCTGGACAGACACATTTCAGAAATAAAATAAAAGGTGGCACTGGCTAAATAGCATTCATAAAAAGAGTGAAAGTTGAGCTAAGTAGCAAAATATGAACACCAGTAAGCATACTGTGAGCACAGACAGCAAAATTGAACAGGATGATATTGATTTGACATTCAGAAGAAGCCTAGTATGAAGGTAATTCATGCCCTGCTAGCATTCTGTGGGGACCAAATACACCTATGAAGAAAACAGCCACAGAACAACAATGTGAGGATAACATTTTTCCCATGTACAGAATTTGGAGGAGGAATTACTTTAGCTTCTGCCTTCTTGTGGCTTGGCTTGCTATACCTCTTGCAACTCCTGAACATGTCCTCCTGCTGGAACAGGACTCCAGATAAGTTGTGTCACACCCCTGGCATAACCAGAGGGTCTGTTGGCCCAAAGTGCCATTCCTGTAGATGGGGAAATAGCCCAGCAGAGAGGAGCTACCTCTTTGCCAAAGATCAGAGGAGAGTCATTCTCTGTGAGGCAAACACAACAGTAGCCCAAAAACAGCAGAGGAGATAGCACATGCGTAGGAAATAGAGAGAGTAACCATTAGCAAGCAGGATCTGTGCAAGAGTGGTCAACAGCTACACCTCTAAATTCCAGGAGCAGGCATGCACTGTGCCAAAATCTATGTTTCATGCTTATGGTGACCTGTTGTGCTTTAACCCAGAAGGCAGCTGAACACCACACAGCCACTTGCTCACTGCCCCCCTCCCCAGTGGGATGGGGGAGAGAATCGGGGAAAAAAGAAAAAAGTAAAACCCATGGGTTGAGATAAAGAGAGTTTAATAAAACTTTAATAAAATCAGAGGATGATACTAATACTAATACTAATACTAATACTAATACTAATACTAATAATGGAACATACAAAACAAGTGATGCACAATGCAATTCTCACCACCCCCTCATCGATGCCCAGCCTGTCCCCAAGCAGCAATCGCTGCCCCCCAGCCAACTCCCCCCAGTTTCTACACTGAGCATGACGTCCTATGTTCTGGAATAGCCGTGTGGCCAGTTGGGGTCAGCTGTCCTGGCTGTGCCCCCTCCCCACTTCTTGTGCCCCTGGCAGAGCAGGGGAAGCTGAAAAGGCCTTGGCTGGTGTAAGCCCTGCTCAGCAACAACTAAACCATCAGTGTGTTACCAACATTCTTCTAGTACTAAATCCAAACCACAGCACTATGCCAGCTACCAGGAAGAAAATTAACTCTGTCCCAGCTGAAACTAGGACCATAGACCTAACTAAAGGTACAATTTCACCATGGGCTGTAGCCATTTCTTCCTAACTGCAACTGGCAAAACCTCACCTCTGTGTACACCCAAACCAACACTGGGATGAAATAAACAAAACGAAGCATTAATTTTGTCAGTAACCAGCAATCAATAGAACCCAGACCTGTCAACAGATTCCAAGAATAGAAGATCCTGGCAGCAAGCTGGAGTCTTCTGAAGATTCAAAGCTGTGTGACCAACTCATCCTTTGAAAACCCGTGAATTTCAGAGTGATATTTATGGTCTGAGTTTGCAGGACTGGGATTTGGTTACAAATGATCTTTAAATTGAGAGTGAAAGTCAGAGAATACTTTTTTTAAAACTTTCACTGAGAAAAGTAAAAAAAAAAGTACGTATAGATAGATATACATATAGATACAGATAGATATAGATACAGATATAGATACAGACAGATATAGATATAGGTATAGATATATAGCTATAGATATAGGTAGATATAGATATAGATACAGATATAGATATATCCCTCAAAGCTCCAGCTCAAAAATAATTCATTCAACAATGCAAATCCTACTGACAGCTGAAACCTGAAACACGCAGTTAGATTGGTGCTGGAGAAGTCAAAGAAGACAAGCAGATGAGGAGCTTTACCTATTCTGAAATGTGTTGTTCACCATTGCATTGAAGACAAGGCGGTCACCCACGACGGATGGTCCCCAGAATTTGAACATATTGACTGATTTCAAGATGGGATATGAACGACAAAGGCGGCTGAAAAAGAAAACGAGAGAGACAGAGAGCAAAACATACAGTCATGTTAAAGAACCTCCTTTGTTATGTTTGAAGTGGGTAGTGATAAGAGCAAGAAGGTTTGCACAACCTAGAAGATCACTATAATATACTAATTTATTCCATAACCCTTTGAAATACCGGTAACATGTTCAGCTCCAAGACCATATAATTCCAGCTTCAGACATAATAATACCACTTATGTCATGCTGTTTCATTTTCAACACACTTTACAAATATTGACTAATTAATTCTCACTGCTTGATATTACCTTCTTTTGGAGCCAGACCATGAATCCCTTACCTACAGAGTAACCTTCATTTCTATATGACTGCATGGGGAGTAGGATATTGCTCAGAACATAAAAATGCCAGATCATAAAGCCTTTAAACAATTGCAAGAAACCTGAGCAGAAAGGTTGAGTACCAGAAACAGTGTTCAAGGAAAGCAATGTCAGTCTATCTATTCTAATATTTGTACTTTTTTGCTTGTTTGCCACATGTTTTCTGCTAGTGTTACATGAAATAAGAATCAAAACTTACTTACATAGCTGCCAAATGCAGCTTTGCAGTTTTGGGTTTGTTTTTTTTCAAATTTGAACTGCTTTGAAGTAGCCTGTAGCCACTCTGGTAAAACTTTGCTGGTCTAGTATGGAAGATTGTCTGTGCCAGGTGAGTACCCTTCCCATGAGCACACCTGCAAAGCTGCTCTTCGGACCAGTACAGTGGACAAACAGACACACACCTGACCAAACCCAGCTGCACTGCTAAAGGAATAGTTTTGCAATACTGTGTCATCTGCACTAGGGAATTTCTTTAAGTCATTGCTTCTCTGACCTTCACAGACATTCCAGAAAAAAACCTGCAGTACAGATAGAGCTTAAGGGTTTGTGGAATTGCAATCTAGTTTGCAAGCTCTCTGGAGTGGGCAAAAATAAGTTTTCTTCAGCAGTTCTAAATGTAGTCAAAGCCCCACTCTTTACTTGGATCCCTGTGCGTCACATGAATAGGGAACAATATATAATAAAGCCATTTAATTTTAGATTTGAAAAAACATGCTCTATCTTCACGCATGTGTGCAAAACTCCTCAGTAAGAATCCCATATGCACATCTGAGAATAGATTTTTCATTGTGCAGTTTTCAAACTTGAAAATACAGCTTTGTAGCATTCCTAGCTTTTAACTCAACTACACTCTGCAAACTAATGTACCAGTACTGTTAAATGCACACAATTATGTGTAGCTAATTAACTGACTGGTACGTCTTTTTAATAGACTAATACATTCAAATGACTTTGTAATTTCATTAAGAATAATTTGCTCTTCTGATTTAAAATGCTAAATGGTGATCTTATTTACAATGTTCACTACAAAGATGCAAACACAATATTATTGAAAATGAGAGGAATAAACCAGAAATTTGGCCAAAATATTCCATTTTTCCATGAAAACTAAGCCATGAATGCTTTTACTGCAAGTGTAAGAAATAAGAAAGTATAGATCCAGTTAAAACTAATATTAGGAATAAAGCCATTCGAATATTAGTATCTGCAAGATTTTAATTTAATATCCAGCCAAAAAAGTGGAGGGGGCGGGGAGAGGGGAGAAGGAGGCTGAGTAACCTTTAAAATGCCCTTAGAAATTTATTTTTCAAGGGTTAGCTCTCCCCTTCACTTCCTGCAGCAGAGTTTCTGGCCATAGCAACTTTTAACTGGCATCTTCAAAGGTCAGGTCTAATTGTGAGTGGACTCACAAAAAGTTTGTAGTGAGACTAGCTATTTCTCAAGCATAAACTACAAAATCTCTGTTTTGAACAAGCCTCTGTCACCAGCTATTATTCCTGATACTTTCAACATGAGAAATCATGTTTGACATTCATTATTTCAAAGAAATCTTTTTCACTACTTCATTTGCTAATGTTTTATTTTTAAACCTAAATGTGATTCTCACTAGGTAAAAATTATCAAATGAAAACAGGTAAATATTTTGGGTCATATTATGGCAAAAATCTGAAGCAATCCCTTTGAAGCCAATGAAATTACACACTGCAGTAAGGTCAGTGCATTCTAATGTTACTAAAGCAAGCTGTTTATCCAACCACTACAGAAAATCTGTTGTTATCAGTACAACTACTGGCTACAAATCAAAACTATATGAATAATGAATGGGGAAGTAATTTAATTATTAAAGTTAAAAAGAGAAACCATATCTAACATCCCTGCAGTGAATTAGGTCACTTAGTATGCAAGGAGAATTCAAACTGAAACTCAAGTGTTGCTTACAAAGAAGCTTTGTATAGAGTCCAAGAACAAGGATGGAGAAAAACAACAGTCTGATTTCAGGGGAAGAGAAATTAAATGGTTATATGGGTAGGCTATACTGAAGCAATACGAGGCACAGTCATAAAAATATTATCTGAAGATGTCAGAGACCTTTAAACTGCTAAAAATATTATGACCCATAGGATGTGGGACTCAAGAGAGACTGAAAGGCTAAGTGACTTGCTGAAGGTTATGCATCCATTCTGTATGCACACCAACAAAACAGAACCTGTTTCTTTTGATTCTTCTTCTCTGACTTATTTTTTCTTCTGGCATAAAGATCCGCTGACTAAGATTTAGAAGGCTGTTTGGTTTTAGATACCATTTGATACAGGGTCAGTATCAATTTTGTCCTGACTATAATGAGTAACTCTGCTTTTAAAACACTGCACCAACCACAAGAAGGCCAGGTTTCTATCCCTGTTTCCAATGCTGACTTTCTGCAGAGAGTTTCAGGAGGATAACATGGCCTCTTTTGCCTTAGGGTCTGCATGTGTACCAGAGGAAGAATAATATTTGACTCCTGTAGTGGTGTGGCATGCTGTGGGAAATGTAACACAGAAATAGTTCAAAGGCCTCCTGCAATCTGAGGGGGAAGTCACAAAGGTTTCGGTCTGTATTTTTCATAAAATAAATCCCAGTGAAACCCTTCATATTAAAATCACCTCCATTTAGAACCATAAGCAAAGACTATGATGTAGAAAAGTACCTTGCTGAAATACTTGCTACTGTCTCCATCCAAGCCATGATTTGGCCACCAAAAGTGTTCCCATGATGGTTTGCATGAGGAGGCTGGACAAGCTCAATACTCTGTACATGAGTAAGGTCAGTTGAAACTGCATCTTTGTCTTCAAAAGTGTCTGAAATACAGGGGCAATATATTAATTAATGATTTCAGCTAGTAAATCTAATAGCCAAGAAGAAAATAGCCCCAGTTATTGAAGCATGTAATTTGCTTCAGGCACACTGAAAAGAAGAAACAAAAAAGACACAGAAGACCTCTGTTATTTTGAAAAGGAAGCAAGAGGCTGAAGATTTGCTCTGTTCTCCCAAAAGACGTAAGAGTTGGGGGATGGTGCACCCTGCAGTCTACTACAGCACAGTGATGCTCCCCAGCCCTCACCATATCCTTCAAAGAAGCTGTGTCAAGAGCAGTTGCTGTGAAAGTCAGCTAGCTGTGAATGCAGGCAGCCAACTGCCTCAGCATGTGCTTGTGATTATTCATGGCTGCTACGCATGACCTCTAACAGATGTTGTCAGAGCAGTTTATCACTTATTCCAATGCCTTGCACAGACTTTGACCACTACAATGGCACCTGTGCAAATGTGTCTAATTAAGGTTAGAGTATGACACGATTATTTCATAACCTGTTACAAACCTTTTGATTACCAGAGACAATACAGAACACACAAAAGAGAGAAATATGGATCGGAATCAGTAACCACCTTCTATTAGCTGAGCATTTCCAATTCCACTTTCAAATGTTTAGCCATACATCCTCACTCTAATCTTTGTTTTTTCAGTTGTATTTTGCAAGAGCATACTTAGGCATGAGATTATATCAGTCACTTTAAAAGTGCTTATCTGTGCTAGAAGCTACTTTACCTGAGTTGTACTGTTGACTTTTGACATAATTAACTAACTTTATGATTATATAAATGTGTAGACACATTTGACTGACTTGCACTTTGCACCTACTTAAGTTGTTGCATAAGATCAACTCAGAAGACAAACTTCACTTTCTGGATATGATTTATACCTATTTTGCTACCTGGCAGCCTTTACGTGCAATATTTTCTTCTCTCTTTCTCCTATTTTGCTTGTTCTGCTTCCTTAAGGAGGTGAATTAGTGCTAAGAATGGTAAGATCCTTTGAGGAAGTTTCCAGGCAAGGCAGTGGAGACCAAAATCGTCAACCTCTGATTTGTCTTTCATGGTATTAAGCTGTCTCCTATAAGACAGTTACCATGAAGACAAATAACTTGTTTGCTTGTAGCGAACGAGTCTCTTCAGTTCTATGGTCTTCTTAAATTGTTAAGACTAGAACTTATAGTTACAACAGGTTTCACCTTTCATCAGTAAAACTACATAATATCTGTTGTTTATATGCGGAGTTATGGCTCAGATTTTCCATGCACCAGCATATTTCTTAACAGTTGTGAATAATTTCCTTTGCAGGGGAATACGGCAACTTTAAGAACAGAGATCACTATCAAAAATAAAGACAAACCTGTTTCTTGGCTCAATTTTTCTAATTTGGTCATGAGGAGTTTAACATTTTTTTTTAAACCTCCATGTAGCGAAGGTTCTCTTGCTTGTTGGGAATGATGTCACAGCATAAACATAGTTCTTAGTGCTTTTTCGCAAAGACACCGTCGTAAGCCTGAGTGAATTTTATCCTTCCATCCACATTACAACTAGTGTCATAGGACTTTATTCCCATTTTGTAAAGTTCTGTGTGAACTGTTAAACCTTACACATGTAACCTACATGAAGATCTGCATTTCACAGCTATTTAATGCATACTTGGCCTTCAATACCGCATTTTTAAATCTGGAATTTCTGAAAGACAAAGAAATATCACACTATTAGAATAACTGTCTTACACACCATTGCAAAACTGGCACACGCTTTTCTACATGATACCACAACCTCAAGGAGCTCTACTCAGATGTTTTGTCTGCTTTTTTCCTCCCCTCCTGCTGCCCGTAAGTAATTTGTTCCATCTTCTATGCTGACCACAGTAATCACCTTCCTTATTACTCTCCTGCATTAGGTTCTGAAAGACCTGTTCATAGCCCAGTCGGATTCTTCTTCTCTCAATAGCCAGGGTGTGCTCCAGGTGGTCTTCTGCAGACAAAAGCTTTACAGGTTCTAATTCAATCTATGCAAATGAAAAAAAAAAAAAAAAAAAAGGTTCTGAATGCCATAATCATAGCAAAGTGCACTTTGAACTTAAAATGGCATTAGCATTTTCTACAACCTTTTGCTATTAACTGTCCAAGATGACAAGTTCTATTAATACAAACAAGTGCAGAGTTAAAGTTCAAGAGAGTCTGCATTTTCCTTTCGGAATAATTTGTTAAAACTCAATGACAGAGTGCTTTTAGCTTTTAAATTCAAAAAAAATGAGAGCACACATAGTTTAAGACAAAAGCAAAAAGTGAAAAAAATAAAGAAAAATGAAAAAAAAGGAGATCTTATATGAAGGTTTGAGTATCAAATTTTTGTACCAGGAAAATAATCCAGTTGCATTGACCAGTTGTGTAGCCTTTGGGAAAGTGTACCCCAGAGCCCACTCACTACACAAATATCCCGCTCCCTCTTGCACAGTTAACTCCGTACTCACATAGCCTATTCCACCTATCTGAGGACCTATTTTCAAAGAAGCACTGGTTTTATGAGGTGGAGGAGAAACACATGAACACCCAACACTTGGTGCAGCTTCAGACTCTTATGTATTTATGCCCAAAATGCTACCTGTGCCCAGACACGCACCGTTCTCTTGCCAAGATCAGACCTTCTTCTCCCTTAAGTGCAAATTCTGTGTATGTCAGTTCAATGACAAACAGAATCCAAGCCTGCACTGGCTTAAGAAAATTATTACGTTTAGGTAAATACTGCAGAAGTGCCACTGAACAGTCACTTGTGTGATTTGCCTACAAGGTCTAGCCTCAGAGATCTTAAAATAATGCACAAGCACTGTAACACAGACAAATTCAACATTTTGTGCCCTGCAGTGGTGCTGCTAATATTTGTCAGTCTTTGAGTCTTCACTGAAACCCTCTTCCAGTTTCCTTGCCTCCTGTCTGGCCTTCCTCAATAGCTTCATAGCTTTTTCCACATGGCCCACTCAAAAGATGGTAAATGCATACTGTTTGCTCTCTGCACAACTTTAGCAACAGTTGTTCAGAAAAGTGGATTTGAAAAAATGTTCTTTAATTTCTCCAAGACTTTAATTTGTGACGGAATTTGAACTGAAGTCTCAAACTCCAAGCATTCCTGTCTTAAGCCTAATCTTAGTTAATCATCACCAATTTAATCCTGAATTAACCTCCCTGGAAATCTGAGCAAAAGGTAAGTAGGTTAATGCCATGGATATGATATCCAAACAATAATAAACAATCCTTACTTTATACTGTTTTAGTGCTTTCACGTTAGCCAATTTAGCCATTAACCTTTCAGAAACAATGTGGAATTTAATTTTGGTAAAACTGTTCCAATCTGTTTCTTCTGCAAACTGTAATATCTCATTGCAGAAGAGAAGGTAGAAATGATTGGATATATTAAATTGCTCATGGGATGACTGCTCTCTGCCAGTCTGCAGTGGATGTTAAAAAGGCCCTGTCATAACACATTCAATGGGACAGGAAAGTCAGACATATGATTCTAGTCACTCATGTTCAAGAAAATAGAATACTATGTACAGAGTTCATTAAGAGGATCTGAGGAATATTTGGCCTGTCTCATATGAAAACTTTAAAAGAAATCTGTCTGTTTGGCAAAGCAAGGTAAAGGCCAAACAGTACCATGACTGATTTCTAAATACCTCCGGCAAGCCAAACACTGGGGGAAGAAACAACATTGGCATGAAAACTAATTAACATAAATGGCAAAGAATGAATTTAGATTGGAAGCTAGCTTAAAAATAATGTCTTCTATCTGAATGGTGATGTCTGAACAACCTCCTCAAAAGGAGGAGTGAAGGATAAAGAAACCCCAACACCCTTGCAGGTTTCAGAATGTATATAGATCTGTGTCGGAAAAGGAGAGAGACTGTGCAGACTCACAGACATCTCTCTTCCAGTGCTTGCCTCTGTCAATATTGCAGCCCTTACAAAGACACTACTTCTATTACTAGAGCAAAAGTGCAGGAGAATGTGGAAACAACAAAAAAAGCCTAACAACTTCAGAGCAGAGATGTGGGAAAAAAAGTCCCAATATAGCCTGGACTTCATGCTATTTTCTTACTACCTAAACAGGTATGAACATTTTCCTGTGTTTTACAACCAGAAAATTGGTTTATGTCACAGAAACTCAGTCCCAGTAACTTCAAGCATAGAAGAACACAGAAAGAATACCTTTGCAGCACCAACTGGTTTGGCTACGTAGGTTGCATATGCCACACTCACAATTTTTTCAACATTAGTCAAAACGTCCTGTACTGTAGCCTTGATGCCAACCTACAAGGAAGGAGGTAGCGGAGGAAGGAGACAAAGAAGTTATTTACATCATTGTCAGTTGAGTTGAGACAAAATGGTGCAGCGTTTATCGAATTAATCACATCCAGTCTTTTAAACCTAAAAGAAAAAAAGGTAAAAAACCTGCTCTGCTATCACTGATACATCTCTGAACACATAAGAACATCACAATATTCGCCGAGCTTGGAGAAGCTTTTCAGTCCAGCAACTGTGTAGCATCACTTGTAAGGTAAAATAAAAAATAGGAAAGACACTTAGATTTATTTTTATAGATATCTCTTTCCATTTCCTTGTGTGTCATTTGGAGTCCGCATCTGAATCTTTCTAAGAACCGTACAAGCAAAAAAGCCTGTATAAATGTATTAAAAACAACAAAACACTTGAAGGTGAAACACTGTATTTGATCCTGTGAGACAGACCTGACAAAGCTTCTGATTTTTTCTATTTTTTAGAACGTTTTGGAATATATTCTCTGTGAGATGCATCACTCCCATTAATATTAATGGGAATTGGACTTGGGAACGATGCAGAGGAAAGCACCCTGAAGGTTCAAGTCTGATTTCAAGTGATTGAGCAATGCATTACATACTTGTTACAGTATGAAGAGTAAGAACATGCATACACCTGAGACAAACACTTCTGTGTCAGAAGTTTCAAAAATACTTAGAACTCCACCTGTTCAGTGGATTCTAGAGCTGATCCAAAGGCTGCTTAGAGGTCAACAGCTTTGGTGTGGACCAACACCACCTACCCTAACCCATCCACTACAGCTGTCAAAGATTTTAAGTCTTCAGGGTCCACTTTCTATTTTGGCATGGATTATTTTACAGGAAATATGCAATTATAACAGTCATCATGAAACCAGAGTTTCATTAGGCAGTGTTATTGTTTAGATATCTGCACAAAGCTCTTTCTGAAAGAAGTAAGACTAGGCCCATGTTGCGTTCCTCTGCTCCTCCCACCTCTCTTCTATTCTTTAAATATCATTAGGAATAAGAGTGATGATCTCTTACCTCCATGCTGGTTTTGAACGCTCTGTTCAACTTTGCTTTTATGGTAATGATTTGTCCAACCCTGTTAAGAAGAATAACATCTTATGGTGTAAAATTATGCAGCTTAATAAGGGTCCGAGCCTGCCCCTCTTAGGTATTCCTAATAGTAGTGAATAAAATCTCATTAATCAGTCTGTGTCTTCCATACTGCACTGAGAATGCACTGAAAAAGGTTTAGCACTGTTATTAATCAGTCAGACTTCATTCGTGTTCAATAACAGTTTTAGTCACTCAGAAAACTGCGTAAAGTTAATATGAGCATTTCTTCTCCTTGCTGATGTCTGTATGACACCAGGTGTGCTCCAGGCCCTAGGTCCCCTGAGAAATTTTGGCCTAGATTCCGCTTTTGTTCAAAGGCACACCTTGCTGTGAGTTACACCAAATTGCTGAGTATATCTAGCTGCAAAACCACACAAGATACATTCCATGTGTATTCTCTAGCATATGAATATGTGCACACAAGGATATAATTCCAGGACAAAAAGTGTTCTTTGTCATTTTTGAAGGATGGGGAA